AGCCAGAAGCGAGCTTCACGATAAAGTATCGATATTGGATTGATTAGAAAGAGAATCAACAGAGTAACAAAAGCAAGCGGCTGTATAAATGGATAAAAAGCGAAATGGGATGAGACAATGAATCCAACAAAACTAAGAAACCAAAGAACCAATAAAGATGTTCCTACTTCGAGCAATTGTTGATAGACCAAATGATTGCGCGGATCGATTTCGAATATGAGAATATGATTGACGCCGGACGATGACCAACCGTAAACATTGATACCGACAAGAATAACTTGAAGAATGATGAGACATGTAGAACGGTAGAGAAGAAGTGCTTGACGCCAGGCGAGCGGTTTTGCCGATTGACTGTCCATAAAAAGAATGGCGAGTGCGAACACCATTGGCAATAAAATACAGATCATTCCTAAAGAGTTACTTTTCTACAAACAAAAAGAAAAGAAACAAAATACCTTACCGACAAATATTCCAACACGAAATGTCACCACTGGTGATTGTTTTTCTTCGAGTGGTGGAACTCGAAGACGTTTCATTGCTCGTGCTCGATCACCCGATTCGAGTATATTAGTACATATTGTTTCAACATTGTTGATGAGCTGAGTGACCTTTGTCGATGTGTGAAATGGAGCCGAATCAATGTGTAATTTTCTATTGAAGAACTTATTGCATTAATCATCAATGTCGAAAATGAAAAATAGTGTGGTTATTTTTGTGGAACCACTCGAAAAAGGCCATGGCCTTATACAGTGTCTCGGAACATCGCTACTTTTGGGGTGGCCTTCTCTTGGGGGTAACGTTTAGCGGGTGCAAAACCTTTTCATTACATACAGAGAACAAGATTAGGTCAGAAAAACCATGTTATTCATTAAGATAATACAGGGAAAAGTTCAAAATCCCTTTTTCTTTTGTGAAACCACAAAAACTTTTGGCTTTTAGAAAAAAGATTTTTTTCGCTCGACACTACTGCCATTAGATAGGTCCTATTGAGTAGTGGAAAAATCTATCTTAGTTTGGGTGTCTGAAAAACCGCTTTTCTACATAATACAAAAATCATGCTGTTTCTTGAGAAATTTATATTTGCGCGTGGGAGCGTCAGAAAAATCTGAAATATTTTTAATAAACAATGGGTATAGAGGGCTGCATGGTGAGCCGAGTGTCAGCGTGAAAATCGAAAGTTAGGCTTCGCTGTAAAATCAGTAAGTTCGCCTGGAAACCACTTAAAAATTCAATTCTCAGGAAACCATGATAGACTTTTTCACTACTCACTAGGTCCTATCCAATAGTATCGGGCGAAAAGCGATTTTACACCTGGAGAGATTCCCTTGTTATCAGGCGAATATGTAGTTTGTTGCGCGAAAAAGCAATCATAAAACTAAAATTTTGATGTCCTTTGCTACAGTTTTCGACAGTTATTTGTCCACCTGTATAGCGTCAATTAATTTTCTCTACCGTGTTCGAACACAATAAGCTATTGAGCACAAGCGCGCATCGTATTGCAGCATATCATGTCTGGTATATAGGCTATTATTAATATAAACAGCCACGTAAGCTTTTGAGGGTGTTAATTAGTCGGAATGGTACGGAGAGCGAAAGAACACAGTAATGACCTTCGACCCAGTCAACATTCAGATATATATGCCTGAGCTGTTTCTGACAGTAGTTTTTTCAGTCAAGAATCTAATTAAGTCTTGAGATTTCAGCCCTGGTTCGGAACACAGATGATTTTTGTTTAAGATAAATCATGGGCTACGCTACCCTCTATACAAACACAGAAACGGCCGAATTGACAAAAGAATGGAACTGCACGAACTCATATCATATTGACAGACGTTTTACCTGATTTACCCTTCAAAGCTTTCATTTTGTCGAAACTGCATTTGCCGCCCATCGTTAGACCGATGCACTTACTGATCTTCAAAACTGGGCATTTTCTGCTCGATCAGCGACTATTTAAACAACTTGGGCGTAATTTCAATACAAAGAGCGCTCGAAAACTAAATTAGAAGCCTAAAGTTTTACTATAATTATACAGCTTTATACTTCTGACAGTTTGAGAGATCTGAAGTATAACGAACTATAGAACTATGAAGGAATCAGGACTAAGACGACAAGAATTAAGAATCAGCTCACGAGGGAACCGCTTTAGGTGTTAAATCGCTTTTCGCTCAGGACCATTGCCATCCGATAGGTCCTACTGAGTAGTGAAAAAGTCTAGAAGGGTTTGGGTGCATGGCTCTTCTGGACTGAGATATCGAATTATTAAGTTATGATCGAAATAGACTAAAATATCAAATTTTCAATTAATAAACAGAGTAATGAGTATTTATCAAAGACATTTTTATCTCATCGAATGGATTCTGTATATGATCCGTAATTTCAGGCAATTAGTGAGGGTAGAAAATGTTTGTATGTCCACACGGACAAATCAAGAACCTCATAACTCTTGAGAGATACAGTGTAGATGACTGAAACTTGTGAACTATGGATAATCCAACACGGCGAATCTACTGGTACAAT